TCGGCGAAGTAGGTTTAATTCAATCCAATAAGTTTAAACGAAATGCAAAAAAAAAATGCGTATAATTTAATATTCCGTACAAGGAAATCATGTGGTGTACACATCAGATTTTTTAACAATAAATTAATTATATATATATAGGTAAATGGTAATTTTATATATTTTTTCCTATAGGGAATTTAATTTCATTAAATTAGTTATTTAATAAATAGATACGTATAATTAAGTGTATATGAGTATGAGTATATTCATACTTATTCACAGAGATGGAATTTTTACAGTACGAAAGTTAATAATTAATCTTTTTTACATCGAAAACTACATATAGTATAAATACCTATTATAGATTTTATTTAAATAAAGTATGTGGAAGATTATATAGCACTAAAAGTGAGATACACATTAAAATATTGTACGCTATGAGATATTTCCTTAATTCCCGAACTGTGGGTTGAGAATCGGTTTTTGTTGTGACTTGTACATTTTTTAAAGTTTGTTTGGTTACAGTACAATTTATTGCATTTTGGGTATTATTACGTTTATTATATCTTTATATTGATTTTTCATTTATATTATGAGAGATACAGGTAACATTAAAAGTATTGTAAAGAGGTGTTCTACACAGTGTTTTTATATTATTATTTATTCACTACATTATATTCTATGATTCCTCCTTTCTTCCACGCAAAACATCTATGTGTATGCATGTCATAATAAGCTGCAGGGTGTTGCTATCAGTGGTAAACGAGTTTTAAGGGGATAACAAGTATGCTAAATTTGAACTCTTTGTTAAGTTTCTAATTTGCAAGTCCCTTATTCTTTTTGCTTGCTTGTTTATTTAATATTTTTACTTGTAATAGTGTTTCTCTTCCTGGAAATTAGGGTTTTCTTTAGTTTTGTTTAAATTTGGTTTAGTGCATTGTAGGTAGCTTATAATTGAAGCAGATGCTAGAAAGTATCATCTCTTGGCAATACATTTCTCATAGGTATCAAATTTTTAGAAAAGCTGATGTGTTTATATGCCATTGTTTAATTTCCCAGTTAAAGAACTGAAATACTAATATATGCAATGAGATACAGTACTTTAATAAGTTATATATTACTTTTAAGTACTTTTTAAGTTATATATTTATAATCAAATCAATAATATATATATAAAATCAAAGTCATGATTTGTAATCATCAAATGATATGTATATATATATATGTTTATATAATAGATTCTGTAGTCGAATGCAGGTGGTTGAATCCGCAAGAATTTAGATGCCTTAGAGATGTTGAAACTCCAGTCCACAATGAATAAGAAATTTGTCAATCGAGGTAGTTTTAATTCACCTTTTTATTCAGCAAATATGTTGAAGCCACAAACAAGTTGGCACATTATTTATGCCTATTCCAAAAGTTTACATTTTTGATAAATTTGTAGTGAGAAAGAAGGAACAGACAGACTGCAGTCCTGTTAGGCCAAAGCATAGAAAGCAAGTGCGTTATGTTGAGGATGAAATCTTAATTCACACTGAGTTAGTTTTGGTTCTCAATGCATTTTTATTTGATAATTAATACTGCTGTAAAATTACTATTGGCTGTTTGAGTTTTAGTTCCATTTACAACATCAGAATTATATAACAGGCATATGACATGGATTAATCTCGAAATGACGCAATGCAAAGAGATTACTATATTTAGAGTAGAGAAGGAAAATTAATTTTACGCTTCTAATTTAATCTTTTACATATTCTTTATTTTTCTTACATATATATATATATGTACATATATCATTCAATGATTTCTGAATTATGATTTTTGATTATTATCTTTCTATTTTCAAAATTATATAAAGGGAGTTTAAAATTTTGTAAAGAGAATTTATTTGTATTATTTGTAAAGAGAATTTTTAAATTTTGTAAAGAGTTTGTTATTTGTTTGTTATTTGTAAAGAAAATTTATTTGTATACAAATATTTTATAATATGTTTATAAATACTGACATGTATATAGAAGGACAGGAGCTTGTAGGCTTCTAGATATTTTTAAAATTTTATGAAGTTTGCTCGCATTGAATTTTATTTAAAATTACTCTACATGCTTTCTCCGCCATGTAGTTCTGTACATTTCGTCAGTGCTAATTATGTACTTCTGGGTTATGTTTTTAATTACTAGTTTTTAATTACTAGGAAATCTGATCTACAGTTCTATTTTTGTGTATTGTTTTTCATAGGGATTCTGTATATAGATACCCGTTATATGTACGATTCTGTGTATGGATACTCCACGGTATAATTCTATTGGTTTTGTTTATGGGTTTTTGTCTACTGTTTTGTGCAGAGATTTTGAAAAGAGGTACCTTTATTGGTCTGTAGATTTTTGTGTACTGATTTCTACAGGGATTTGTTCTATGGGTACCTATATAGGTGTACAGGTTTTTGTGTACTGGTTTTTATGAGGCCCTACGGATTATCCATTTTTTTATGGAGATTTGGGCTATGGATACGCATAAAGTTCTGATTTCTGGCTATGGGTTTTTACTGAGATTTCGTTCATGGTGTCTACAATTCTACAGGTTTCTATGGGTTTTTACGGAGATTTGGCCTACTCGTATCCGTACAGTTGTACACGTTTCTGTTTATAGGTTTCTACGGGAATTTGGCCTATGGGTACCCGTTCAGTTATACGTGTTTCTGTTTATGGGTTTTTACTTGGATTTGACCTACGGGTATCCGTAAATCTGTGTGGGTTTCTTCCTATGGGTTTTTACGGGGATTTGGCCTACGGGTACCCGTACAGTTGTACGGGTTTCCGTCTGCGAGTTTTTACGGGGAATTGGCCATCCTCTGTAAAAATTTTATGTCTTTCTACGAGGCATTTTTAGCAGGAAAGCCATTGTGGTTTTGCCTTACCCCACAATCAGTCTCGTTTTAGAAACGAATAAAAACGTTTTAAACGGATATCTTCATGTCTTAGAGCTGAATTCAGGCTTAAAAAATCACAAATTATCGATCTGTAAGGAAACGGTTTCCAGAATACGCACACTTTTGCGAGTGATTTGGGATCTCACATTTTCTAATCGCTAATTTGTGGTTTTCACGGACGAATTTCTCCATTACACGGATGTCGCACTCGACCATTTTCGCCTTTAAACCACTTTGAATGGTAATTTTATTTAGGTCAATGTTTCTTCAGGGTATACAACATGTTAAACCCAAAAGGCTGAGTTGGGTCGAGACCCTTATTTCATTTAACAATATCGCATACAGCGGCGTTTCCTCCTGGTGGTGAGTTTTTGAACATTTTCCTCCCCGCGGAAAATAAATTCCCTTGAGCTCCTTTATACGATTATCAAGTTTGACAACATTTAGTCCAGTAGTTTTCCTTTTATGACCATTTCAAAGTGAAACTTTAATTATAACCACCTTGCACTTTGAGAGACGCCATAGAATTCGGTATTTGATTTTGTGATTCACGTTTTCCAGGTCCTTTATTGCTCACCAAGGCGTTGATTCCTGTAAATCGTGAAACTGAGACATTACTCGGATTTGGTTTTGCAAATAAGAACCCAGTTAAAATTAATATTGCGTTGCGGAAACAGTATAATACCAGATCTCCACGCGTAAGAAATCTTCCAAGTATATTGATCGTTTTTAATTAAGTTTTATGTTCTAAATGAATGTAATACAACAGGATGATACTTTATTGGGCAATATAAAACAAAGTACATAGAAAGTTGAAGTTAAACAAGAAAGCGTAGTTATTAAGGTGTTATTAAAATAAACTAGAGAAGTTTATTTATTAATTAATTTTCCGTATAAGATGGCTTATTGAAAATTTTTTTAATATATCGATAATTTATTGTTATAATAATTTAATTATTGCGAAGAAAATCCATGATGATCCAGTAGACGTTTTAGGATAATGTTAAAATAAATGTGACATTTGTCAAATATATCAAAGCAAATAAACTACCATTTAAATACTGAAATTACTAACACAGCTTTTAGATCAAGGGGAGCCTCAAGAATAAATGGTACCCTCAGTAAAATACACAAATGTACATTTACCGAAAAAAACTATGTACGGAATGATGTAACTGGCAATTGCGTTATAGATTAAAAATTTTAAAAAAGGAACTTTACATCATTTGGGTACCCCAAAGTAACCAGAATACCAGCACTATACACGAACCTTTCTTAATTATGGATAGTGCGGCTAGATTTTGTTAACCTTTGCTAGACCTTGATTTTCCGTGCCTACATTTCAGGTGGCATCAATCTGACAGCGGCTTGTCTTCAGTTCATGTCACCAAATGATGTCACCACATTTGAATGTGGCTCTGTTGCAAATTCAAGCTAGTATTGCGATGTGCGATCGCAGAGAATAAAGAATGTGCACACACATTTTTATTGGAAAAACTATATATGAGATCGTTGTTATGCTTCGTCAAATTTTTAAAGTAGTGTTCTAAGTATATCCCAACTGCATGAGTGGTTTCCAGCTTAAAATTAGAGACATGTCAGAGAAAATATTTGAAAAATGCAGCGAGATCGTGCAAAGATTATTTGCCAGATTTTTGAAGAAACTTTCTCCGTCTATCAGTGTTTGAGAAAGAAAACGTGGTGCTTGTGTCTTAAACTCACCAAATCTGCTTCTTGCTTGGTGAGAGGGTTTCTGTTCTTACAAATAAGGAAAGTTCTCTAAAAAGGCTATTTAATGGCCAAAAAGCAGTTGAGGGATATGAATGAAATGCGAAATAATAAGCCGCGGTATCGTGACCAATATGCTGTTCCAAAACTTTTTCCAGCTTTCCAGCAGTGAGGAAAACGTTTCGAAAAAACGTCATTGTTTGTGAAAAACACTTTAAAGACTAAAATTTGTAATTTTAAAAGCATAACGAAGTAATTTTAAAATAATTCAGATTATTCTTGGATATACCACGTATTTAATGAACTTATAAACAAAATCACGACTTTTAAAATATGTCTGTTAAAAATAAATTTGAATATTTACCCATTTCTTCTTTCTCAAAGCGCTCAAATTCAGCTTGGGAAGTTTTGGAATCCAGTGTTCCAGACTTTTTCACTGAAAGAATAATACATTAAAACCATTTCCATTTCGCAGTAGTTTACATATTATATATATGAAACTTAGATTATATAATATGTTCAAAGGCTTTTGTATAATTGAATATGTCTTAAACAGTTAATAGTAGATCCCTGGTTTCAGTTTACGAAGTAATTAATGATATTAAGTAGACTTAAAAAATCAAAGTTTTACAAACTGAAAAAAAAGTCACATGATCGTTTGACATTTACATCATGATGTGAGTTACTTATTTCTAAAATAAATAAATTATTATATGTCATTATTAGTGACATTTTGTGCGAAAAAGGAGGATTAAAATTTTAAAACGTACTTTTGTACAGAAACTTCTGAATGTTTTTGTTCTAGCACAACATGCTCCAATATTGTGCTATAACAAAAACAAAGAATTTTCTCTAAAAAATGTATGTGACAAGGTAGCATTTTTAGCACGAAAAGATGCTTTCATCACCAGCTTATTTCGACTTCTGCATTAGCCGAGGAGCAATTGCAATGCATTCAACTACCCCTTGCCAGGCCCCACATTCCTATAGGAAGACAAATTACAATGCCAGTTGTTAATGAATAGCACCTGAATGGAACACCAGTGAGCGGGGAAGAACTTAAGACCATATTAAAAATAAAATACATTTATAATAAAATACATTTATATAAAATAGTGTCATAAGTGTGCAAGAACCTTAAGCTAAGTTAATTAAGCTAAGTGCTGGTTTCATAAGCCCTGGTTTTCACTCAGAATGAAGGCTGCGTGAGGGCGAAGATATCTATCTGCATTGAGCCCTTCGTAGTGAAAAGTTCGGAAAAAGTTCATATGGTCACAATATTGAGCACTCTCGAAGAAGGTTTTGTTAGCTTTCCTGAAAAAGTTATCCAATCTATCCAGTTTGAAATCAGCACGAAGAAGTTTATTTCGAACAAAATAGTGTGCATTAGTGCTGATTCTTAAAAATCTGTTTTGCACAACTTGAAACTTGAGAGTATCCGAAGGAGTAGCAGTAGCCTAAGCTGGCGAAGCATGTCATTAAAAGTCTAATACTTGAAGTGTAACTGAGTTTTTTTCTTTGAGAGATCAAGCTTTGAGTATTTTCCTGTGATAAGAAGTAGACACTTCATGACTTTAATCGCTTTGTTTGCCACGTAATCAATGTGATGTGTCCGCGTAAGTTTGTTATGTATCTGCCTACGTTAAAAAAACGATTTCGGCGAAAAAATTCGATTTTTTTATTGCCCAATTTGAAAGGTCAATTTTGTAGGATTCCGAAAATGGTTCATTTTTACGTTTGTGATAATTAGAAGAGAAGGTATAGCCAATTAACTGCACTGGAAGTGAAAGCAGAAAGACCGGAAGTGCCATTTAAAAGGCTCAACTTAAAGGTAAACAATGTTGTTATCCGTGCTTTTTTTTTAACTGTTTGTGTGTAAAATTGTGCTAAAACATTTCATTTTAATTCTGGGTACTTTTATTTTGTTTCTGGCAATAATTATTTGCCTTAATTCTTTGAACTGGGACTGGCAACATTGCGGTTTTTTTAACTGGGTTTGGCAACATTGCGATTAGGTATAAAGACTATGTTGCTGGGTGCATATATGGCCGTTTTAATTTTTAATTCAGGGTATCTTGGATTACTTCCTGTGTTTTGAACATTTAGGCATATCAATTGAACAAGAAATGATTAAAAATTACTTTGGAATTGATAACGAAAGAATAAAGAACTCGAAAATTCATTCGTCGCTCATTTCGAAAATAGCCAGAAAAAAATTAAAATCAAATAGGAAATCAAAATTACTTAAGTATAAAGATATGGAGGGTGTGATGTACAAATGTGGAGAATTTTAAGTGTGTAAATACAACAGAACAGTTTTTCTGTTAATGTGAAATCTTTAAATGCGTTTTCTGAAAAACTAATTTTTCTAGTGTTTTTACATACAAGAAATGTAATTACTCAAAATGTTCTAAAGATATCTCTATTAAATTTCACTAAAATGTTTTCTATATTATTTATTAGGTTTTAAGCTACAATCTAAGTAATATTTATTAATTTTATTGTTTTATAAGTATTTCTACATAAAATGATAAGAAATATTTTACAAAAAACTGTGTTTTTTCATGTAATTACACATATTTTAGTAAATTTTAGAAATATCATATACATTTTAGTTCATAACACAGATAAGTGTTGTAGTAGTATACAGTTAAAAAAAATTGAAATATATGCTGTGAGAAAAAATATACGGCATTTAACGTAAGTGTTAAATTCTCCTAAAAATTTGCATAAAATTGCATATATTTCAAAAATTTAAAAATATTCCTAAAAATTTACCTATTTTCATGATTTGATATCATATTTTGACTAAATAAATATATATTTCATCAGCATTCTATGTTTTAAAAAAAAAGTGCTCCGAACGTAGGCAGATACCTTAATGATGATTCCTAGATAATTAACCTTTGCAACAATGCATACCGGCTCATTGAAAAGGGCGACATTTTTTTTGGCTTTAAATTCCCACTTTTCCGTCTAACAAGCAGGAGCTGTGAGGTTTGGGTATTAATGCATATTTTCCAGTACCTACGCCGCTGTTTAAAACTCGGAATGATGGTTTGCAGCATTTTAATGGCGTGACTGACGTTGGCTGATTTTACCGCGAAGGCGGTATCATCCGCATAACAGACTTGGATTGCATTGTTGTTAAGTTGCACCACAGGGAAGCCTGATTCATAAAACAGATAAAGTACAGGGCCATTTACCGAACCATGGGACAGTCCACCTAGGACTTTTCTGGAAGATGATCTCCGACGAAAATCCGGTAGGTTCCATTCGAGATGAATGAAAGGATGAGCAGGATAAGTTCTCGATATAATTGGAGATTAATGAGTTTGGCTATGAATCCCTCATGCCAGACGCGGTCGAAGGCTTTCTCCACGTCCAGAATGAGGATAGCAACATGCATTTTGGAGTGCAGGTTTGCGCCTGCGAAATCTTAACCTTACAAGCTGTTTTGTAGTGAGTAGAGTTTCACGAAAACCAAACTGTTCAGGAGGAAAGAGTTTGAAATAAGGTTTCATTCTTGCCAGTATTACACGTTCAAACACTTTACCTAGACCAGACAAGAGACTGATCGGTCTATAACCTTCAGGTTGTACATGACTGTTACCCGGTTTCGGTATCATTATAATTTTAGCCTCTTTCCATTGTTTTGGAAAATTATGAGTTTGTGAGACATGCGTTAAAAATGCTGACAAATTTGCATATAATATTTCTGGGCAGATTTCTGTTGGCTTCGTTCGTTTTCATCTAAGCCAGGAGTCTTTTATAATTTAAGCTTTCTGATGATATCACCCATTTTCAAGGAAGTAGTTAAACTAATTAAGTTATGTGCATTTGGCGAATTTAGCCAGTCGCGCACATAGAGAAGTGTTCTCAATTCAAACTCTTGATCATTTGGCCAGTCATTTGATGTGATCTGTAGTTGTAAGTGTTCCGCAAATAATTCCACTTTTTCTCGACTGGCTGTCGCCACTTGGTTCTGAAAATGCAGGGGGCCTATTACTCGTGTAAGATGCTTTAATATTTTTGATCAACTTCCAAGTCTAACTAAGATCCAAAAGCTCTCAGCTTAAATAGACTTAAACCAATTTACATTTTGGTGAGGAATACGGAAAGAAGTTGTTAAAGAAAAATTCCAAATCATAGTAACTAAGTTAGTTTAACATAAGATCCTTGCATATCTTAACTTCTGTGCCGGGTCATGCAAATAATGTCGAATTTCAAGCAATTAACAGCATTTTAATCGTAGTAAATATTATACTCGTATATATATCATAACTGTATCTGCTTATATGTCTCATGCACAGATATGTGATTTATGTGTTTATAAGTGTTTTATGTGTTTATTCAAACGCTTGAGTAATTTATTCCTACAATATATGTTACATGCGTTTTTATGTAATTTATGTGTTATGCATTTATTTGTGTTTTATGTGCTTACAAGTATTGGGACATACATATAATCAAGAGATAGTGATTAAGTCATAAATAGGTGGCTAACAGTCTAACAATAAGAACAAAAATCAAAATTAAAAAAAGAATCAGTAAAATAATGAAAAAAAAATAGTATAATATAATATATAGTTGAAAGTATTTTAGTCTTTTTTAAGGAGCAGCCGAACAATTTTCAACACAGCCACGTTTCTGATTTTTATCTGGATGATTATAGTAATAAATTCATAATACAATTCAAGAGCGAGAAAATTAAAAACAAAATGGAAGGTAATTAAAACATTTAAAGATAAAATTTCAAAAAGCATATTATAGAATAAACTTATTTTTTAAATTTTAAATAAATCATCACGATAATCAATCATCAAGATTAATTTTAAATAAATCATCTGCTCTGACGTTACCCCGAGCAAATAATACTGTACAAAAATTAAACCGTATAAATTTAGAATCCTTCAAATAGATATACGAGAAAAATGGGCTAGATAAAAAATTCTGGCAAATTAATATTCCATTAATAAATGTTAAACCTAAAAAAAAGGCAAACTGTTAAATCATTATCGTAAAAATAAAATAATAATAATAATAATAAACTCAAAATTTAAGAAAACGAAATTAAAGAAGGTAATTCAGCTAAACGAAAAGCCGAAAGAAAAACTTTTCATATAATTTTTGTGTAGATAAATCATTTCTAAAGAAGAAAGGAGAAAAACATCTATACTAAATATAAGAAATTTACTGTAGACGAATTTACTCCGAAACAAGTATGAAGAGTTAAAGACAGGCTTTAAAAAAAAGCTTGTGTTTACATATTATATATTAATGAATTATAATTATAAACCAAACGATATTTACCTCCTTGTGCGAAGAAAATGAAGTGCTGTAATTGCAAAAATTTTCGGGTAACATGTTACAACGAAAATATCCATTTTGATCGCTCTCGAATCCATCTGAACGAGGTTTTGCATGACATCTGTA